GGCTGTAATGACTGGGAATGTCTGTGACAGTGACACCGAGCATGTGTTGGGGCCATCGCTGGGATCATTCATCCCAAGAGGTTTTGATTCGAGACGGGAGGAGAAACACAGAGATCAGCAGGCCTTTCTTAGCCTAGAAGGTGAGGAGGCCACAAGGAGTGGGCTGCCCTGCTTCCCTACAAATGTAAACACACAGTGTAACTGCACATGGACATCAGTCAGCGGCCAAATCAATGCCCAGCCAGCGCTGGTGGCTGTGTCCTGCCACTCTCTGGCTGTGCTATGGTGCTATTGGCTGGGAGGGCTGAAGCCATGCCCCCAAGCACACATAGTATACAAAGGGGCAGGCAGGAAGCCAGAAGCTGAAAGTTGGCGCTGAGGTGGCCTGGCAGTGCTGTGTCCACCATGGAGCTGGACAGGGAGAAGCTGTAGGTGTGACCAGCTTTGGAGTCAGAGGGGCTGCGCTTCCTGCTTCCTGCACGTCACCGGTGAGTCCCTGCGAGCCCGCAGCATGCCAGCCGGGCCGGACGAGGTTTGGGGAGGCCTTTCCCTCCTGGAGCCGTTCTTCCCAGGGTGGCAGCGTCGGCCACTTTTTTTTTCCCAATTTATTTATTTTTATTGGAAAGCAAGCTCTGGGCTTGCGGTTCCTGGGATAGATGGGCTATAGCATGCACCTCCAGGCCTCACTCCCACCCCTCCCCCTCCTCCTGCATTGAGCGTCTGGCCCCTGGTGGTCAGTGCACATCATAGTGACTGGTCGACCAGTTGTTCTGGTTGTTCCGCCATTATGGTCGCTGGGCTTTTATTATATAGGATATTCAAATGTTACATTTAGAGAAGCCTAACTATATTTCTATGTAAAATACTAACTACAGCAAAATGTGTTTTCCAAAAATGCCCACACCAATATTTCCAGACCCACATGATCTTCCAGAAACTTACCACTGCCCACCAACAAGTAGAGTGTTTTTTCCCTCTCCTGGGGAGGGACTTGCCACTAACTCAACAAATAGAATGTAGTAGAAATGATGCCTCGGATTTCCAAGACTCGGTCCCAAAGGGTTATACAGCTTCCTCTGAAGCTTTCCCTTTCCTGGGGCATTCACCCTGGGAACTCAGCCACCATTCTGTAAAGAAGCAAAAGCCACACACACACAAAAAAGCAAAAGCCAGATGGACACACCACATATAGGTGTTTCATTCAACATCTCCAACTGAGATCTCAGACAATAGGCAGCATCAATCACCAGATTTGGAAGTGAATAAGCCACCATATGATTCCAGCCCACAGCCTTCAAGCTGCCCCAGTTAATGCCAAGTGCAGTAGACAGCAGTTATTTCTGCCAAGACCTACCTACATTGCAGATTCATGTGCAAAATAAATGGTTGCTTGTGCCACTATTTTCTTGAGTAATTTGTTACACAGCCATAAAATTAGAACACATTTTTTGGTGGCAGAAGTGAGATATGGTATAGACAAGAAACCTAAAACATTCAACCTTGCCCTAGCCAGTTTGGCTTAGAGGTTAGAGCATCGGCCCACAGACTCTTGGGTTCAATTCCAGTCAAGGGCATGTACCTTAGTTGCAGGCTCGATCCAGGTAGGGATGCTTGCAGGAGGCAACCAATTAATGGGTCTCTCTCACATCAATGCTTCTCTTTCTCTGTCTTCCCCTTCCCCTCCACTCTCTCTAAAAATCAATTGAAAAAATATCCTTGAGTGAGGATTAATAAAACAAAATTAAACAAAAAACCACACACAAACAAAAAAAAACTAAGTAACCTTAAAGAAAGTGTTAGTAAAAGCCTAAAGGATCTTGAGGAGGCCATGAAAGGAAGTCTGATAACCCTTGATAAAGCTTCAGTGAGGGCTTAAAGGAAGGTAAGAAAATGTCATGGGGAGCTGAGGAAAGAAATCCTATTATGTCATGACAGAAATTTTAGCAACACTGGTCTTGCAGAAATGTGGAAAATTGAAGGTGTACTTAATTAGTTGGATGACCTAGCTAAGGACATTTCAGAAAGAACATTAAAAGTGCCTTATGGCTTCTTCCCATTGTCCATGATAAAATAAGACAACAGGGCGATGATTTTTTTTTTTAAAAAAAAGGAAATATAAAAGAGCCAGAACTTGATGGGTTTAAAAATAAAATCATTTCTAATTCCTAGCCTCTCCAGTATTCTCAAATTAAGAGAGAGCTTCATAGCAAAGATTAAACCCAGGGCCAGATCATAAGCGCCTTTGTCAAAACTTCAGAAATACCTAAGGCAATGCCTCAAGAACTATTTTGCTCAAACAAAAGGCCCTCCAAATCTGTTTCACAGATTTGGTTAACCAATAGAACTTTTAAGAATCTAATAAAGTGTTGTCCTTCAGCAGTTTTATAGAAAACCCAATGTAGAGAAGGGCTTTTCTGACAACATTTGTGGGTGTAGCTTTGTCTAGTGGAATGTATTCATAATGCATTGATTCATAAAAAACCCACACAGATTCTAAAATAATTATACCACCTTAGATGGAAAGTAAGACTTAATCAACATTTAGCATGCAGAAAGAAGACTGAGAAAACCATTCAGCTGCAAAATGGGTTACTTTTATGGAAAAGGAAAGAAGATTTGGAGGACATAACCCAGAGCCATGGTGAACCATTACCAGGCAGTAGCACTGCATCTAATCAGGTAAGTGGCAATGTGTTCCCTACTGAATTTCAGAATTTTTATGGATTCCTGTGAGCTTCCCACTTTATTCATTTCAAAGAGAAGGGTCTATAGCAGTTACTCTATACTTGCCCTACCATTATATGTTGTATGTGTGCATGTATGTAAATAAATATGTATTAGATATGGACCTATCTAGCTATTTATACCAAGTTGTTTCTTAAGTTTACAAGTCTTAAGATCAATGGGAACTAAACCAAAGGAGCTTCAGTTGTATGTGAATATGACCTAGGTCATGCACTGTAAGGTCTTAAGGTCTTGCACTGCAAGCCTGAACTTCAGGCCATAATGGGATTAGATTTTGCAGACCCCAGGGAAGAGAGTAGGCTTTTATGCAAATGAGGGGAATATGATTTATTGTAAGCAGAGGGCAGACTATGGCAAAGTGTATTTTCCAAAAATGGCCATAGCAGTATTTCTGGCCCCACATACTCTTTCATAACCTTGCCACTTTCCATCAAGAAGTGAAATCTATTTATCCTCCCTTTGGGTGAACCAGAGAAATGTAGCACTCATATAAAAGTAATTATAAAATATTGTTCTAACACTTAAAAGCAAACCAAAATAAATAAGGACATGTTATGGATAGAAAGACTAGATGTCATAAAAATATTAATTATCCCCAAATTAATCTACAAATTAAAAAACACATAATTGCCATTTTAATAGGCAGGACTTTTCTTGGAACTGTCCAAGCTGATCCTAAAAATTCATGTGCAAGAGGAAACAGCTATAAAAAGACAAGGTAATTAATTGTGAATAAGAATCAAGTAAGATGTAGAAAGAAATATTTGTACTGGCATCTATCAACATTATAAAATTATAGTGATTAGAACATTGTGGACTTAGTACACAGATAGATGGAGAGACCAACAAAACAGACTACAGAATCAGGTGGTATTCTCATGTATATGTGAATACTTGACATGATAGAGGTGGCCACACAGTGCAATGGAGAGATGACTACCTTTCCAAATGGTGCTGGAACATTTGGGTATCCATGAGGAAAATATCAAATCAGATCTCTTCTCCATTCCAGAACCCAATAGTTTAGGTAAAACTATAAAACTTTCAGAATAAATGGAGGATTTCTGAATGACCACAGGATAGGAAAATGATTTCCTAAATAAAACAAACAAAGAGAATTCCAAAATGGCGGTGGAGTAGTGGATGCTACACTGACACACTCCCAGGACCAAACTGGAAATATAACTAACCTAGAGAAAAACCATCCTGAAAAATCAACTGAAGACCAGCTGGAACCCTGATAACCGAGGATGGAAAACAGAGACCGCATAGAGACTGGTAGGAGGCGTGGAGGCACGAAAAGGCTGGCCAGGCTCCCACAGACAGCGGCTGAAGTCCCAGAGGGTATTCTCAGCTGTGGGGGTTCCCACTGAGAACTCTGGGGTCTAATCCTCAAGCTAATCCTCCAGCCCAGAGCACCAGAACTGAGAGGTGCCCGCGTAGCATCTGGCTGTGAAAAGCAGCAGGGTTGCTGACTGCCGGAGAGAGAGATGGCTGGAAATGCAGGCATCCTCTTAAAGGGCCAACGCACAAAATGTTGTGCAGTCACTCACTCATCAGGAGATGAGTGGATGAAAAAGCTGCAGTACATTTACATCATGGAATACTATGCAGCAGTAAAAAAGAAGAATCTCTTACCCTTATGAGACAGCATGGAGGGACCTGAAAGGTATTATGTTAAGCAAAATAAGCCAGTTAGAGAAAGACAGGTATCACATGATCTCACTCATATGTGGAATCTAATGAATAAAATAAACTGAACAAAATAGATCCAGAGACATAGAAGCATGGAACAGACTGTGAAATCTCAGAGGGAAGGCGGGGGTGGATTGGTAGTTGGGAAGAGATCAACCAAAGAACCTGCATGCATATATGCGTAACCAGACAGTAGGGGACACAGACAGTAGGGTGGTGGAGGCCTGGGGTGAGGGTGGGGGGGGAGGGGTGGGGGGGATTGAAGGGGGGTGGGGAGTGGGCTATAAGGGGTCAATGGGGAAAAAAGGGGACATATGTAATACTTTCAACAATAAAGATTTTAAAAAATCACACTAAGCACTAACTGTACAAACAAACAAAAATGGGTAAAGTTGATTACATTAAAATCAGAACTTCCATTCATCCAAGGACACCAAAAACAAGGTGCAAAGAAACTCACCCCCTGGGAGAAAATATTTGCAATGCATACAAACCCACAAAGGTTAGCATTCAAAATATATAAATAACTTCTTCCCATTGCTAGTCATTAGGAAAATGCAAATTAAAACCAGAATGAAATACTATTCACAGACCTCAAATTGGCAAAATATTAATCTGCTAATGTTAAATGTGAGTGAAAATGTGGGGGGAAATTCAAATATGCTGATAGGATTACGAGCTGGTCTGTAAAGAGCCACTTGGCAGTTTGTAATAAAATTGAAGCCGCACATCAGATATAACTCAGCTTTTCAACTTCTAGGCATATATTTTACAAGAAACTTCTGCCCGTACACACAACTAACCATGCCTGGAAATGCTTGTAGAGGCATTGTTTGTTATTTGAAAACAACCTAAATATTTATCAGCTGGGAAATAGAAAAACAATTTGTGGTTTATTCATACCATGGGATGTTCTATAACAGTTAAAATGACTGAACTAAATGGCACATATAGACATGGATGAATCTCTAAATTACAATTTTAAGAAAAAAACCAAGTTGTCAATGATGCAAACAGAATGATTCACTTATAGAAAGCTTTAAAACATGAAAAACAATACCATGCGTTATGATACTGCATGTGTAGTAAAAATGTTAAAACAGCCTTGGGAATGATATAAGCTGAATTCATCTGGGGCAGGAAGAGAATAGAAATAGAGATATTAAGAATTTCAAGCGTATTTGTGATGTTTTACTTCTTTAAAATGAAAAAGGGGTATGTAGCAAGTTGTTAAGATTTCACAAAGTGATGCATGGTGAGCGGGCGCTTGACATGGGGTTCTCTACCCTTTTCTGTTGACGGACTTTTTGAAAAGCTCACTGGAGCCGAGAGCCTCTGAGAGTTCATAGGCTTTGCTGCCTTATTTGTGTACCTAGGAATGTATCTGGTACACAGCCTCTGACGAGAACGTTCTAAGGGTACGTGTGGCGTTCTGTTCAGATTGTTCTCTGAAGTCAGGCCTACACACCATCAGTAACCCTCTTCAGTTTTAAGTAAAATAGCAATCAGGTTGTTCCTTTCCTGGAGAGGGGTTTCTTTTAAATTTATCACCAGAAAAATCTACTCACCACTAGTCCAATCTGCAGAAGGAAGATACGATGTAATCAAATTATCCGAAGACAAGAAAGAAAAGAGCATGGCAGCAGGCCCTCTGTGGTTATCAGGCCATCTTGAACATCAGGTTTCAACTTTCCAGAACGGGAAGGGAGATTGAATCATCAGAGAGGATGATCAAGGCTTGAGTTAGGCTCTGGAAGCTTGGTTACTGAAAACTCTCAGAGGTCTGTCCATCTCCCTGCTTCTGTACCTGGGCTCACCTCGCCGTTCTAAGAGGAAGAGTGAGGTATATCAGGTTTGACTCCCTCGGAATGATAGCAAGCAGATAGCATTGTTTTTGCCTTATTTATGTATTTGCTTATATTTAGGTGGACAGTCATAGATATACTCTGGTTATAGTCCCTAGAAACAGACCCTAAGAAAAGGATTTAGGGAAGAGTACTGTATTTTTCTGTGTATAAGATTCCCCCACGTATAAGATGCCCCCGCTTTTCCAACCCAAAATTAAGAAATCAATATTTTAAACATTTTTCTGGTTTTCCTTAATTTTTTATTTTTTTTGCTGTTGCCATTTTTAAATTTTATTTTATTGTTTTACAAATAGTAGTACATATGTCTCCTTTTTTCCCCATTGACCTTCTATCTATTATTGTTCAAAAGTTTGTAATGGTCTTTATTATCCATGAATGAGTGAGATCATGTGGTATTTTTCCTTCATTGACTGGCTTATTTCACTTAGCATAATGCTCTCCAGCTCCATCCATGCCGTTGCAAATTGTAAGAGTTCCTTCTTTTTTACAGCAGCATAGTATTCCATCGTGTAGATGTACCACAGTTTTCTAATCCATTCATCTACTGATGGGCACTTAGGCTGTTTCCAGATCTTAGCTATGGTGAATTGTGCTGCTATGAACATATGGGTGCACATATCCTTTCTGATTGGTGTTTCTGGTTTCTTGGGATATATTCCTAGAAGTGGGATCACAGGGTCAAATGGGAGTTCCATTTCCAGTTTTTTGAGGAAACTCCATACTGTCTTCCATAGTGGCTGCACCAGTCTGCATTCCCACCAGCAGTGCACAAGTGTTCCTTTTTCTCCACATCCTCTCCAGCACTTGTCGTTTGTTGATTTGTTGATGATAGCCATTCTGACAGGTGTGAGATGGTACCTCATTGTTGTTTTGATTTGCATCTCTCGGATGATTAGTGACTTTGAGCATGTTTTCATATGTCTCTTGGCTTTCTGAATGTCCTCTTTTGAAAGGTGTCTATTTAGATCCTTTGCCCATTTTTTGATTGGATTGTTTATCTTCTTTTTGTTAAGTTGTATGAGTTCCCTATAAATTTTGGAGATTAGGCCCTTATCAGATATGACGTTGGCAAATATGTTTTCCCACGCAGTGGGTTTTCTTGTTGTTTTGTTGATGGTTTCTTTTGCTGTGCAGAAGCTTTTTATTTTGATGTAGTCCCATTTGTTCATTTTCTCTTTAGTTTCAACTGCCCTAGGAGCTGTATCAGTGAAGAAATTGCTTTGGCATATGTCTGAGATTTTGTTGCCTTTGGATTCTTCTAGAATTTTTATGGTTTCCTGTCGTACATTTAAGTCCTTTATCCATTTTGAGTTTATTCTTGTGTATGGTGTAAGTTGGTGGTCTAGTTTCATTTTCTTGCATATATCTGTCCAATTTTCCCAACACCATTTATTGAAGAGACTATCTTGGCTCCATTGTATGTTCTTGCCTCCTTTGTCAAATATTAATTGAGCATATTGGTTCGGGCTAATTTCTGGACTCTCTATTCTATTCCACTGATCTATATGTCTGTTCTTGTGCCAGTACCAGGCAGTTTTGAGAACAGTGGCTTTGTAATACAGCTTGATATCTGGCATTGAGATCCCACCTACTTTGTTCTTTCTCAGGATCGCTGCAGCTATTCGGGGTCTTTTTTTATTCCAGATGAATTTTTGGAGAGTTCGTTCTAGATCTTTGAAGTAGGCCATTGGTATTTTAATGGGAAGTGCGTTGAATTTATAGATTGCTTTGGGTAGTATGGACATTTTAATGATGTTGATTCTACCAATCCAAGAACATGGTATGTTCTTCCATCTCTTTATGTCTTCCTCTATCTCTTTTTTTAACGTCCTGTAGTTTTCTGAGTAGAGGTCTTTTACCTCTTTAGTTAAGTTTATTCCTAGGTATCTTAATTTTTTTGGTGCGATGGTAAATGGGATTGTTTTTATAATCTCTCTTTCTGAAAGTTCACTATTGGTGTATAGAAATGCCTCAGATTTCTTGGGGTTAATTTTGTATCCTGCTACATTGCCAAATTCATGTATTAAGTCTAGTAGTTTTTTGATGGAGTCTCTAGGGTTTTGTATGTATAATATCATGTCGTCTGCAAATAAGGACAGTTTTACTTCCTCTTTTCCAATTTGGATGCCTTTTATTTCTTCTTCTTGTCTAATTGCAATGGCTAATACTTCCAGGACTATGTTGAAGAGGAGTGGTGAGAGTGGGCATCCCTGTCTTGTTCCTGTTCTTAGGGGAAATGGTGTTAGTTTTTGTCCATTGAGTATGATGTTGGCTGTGGGTTTGTCATATATGGCTTTTATTATGTTGAGGTATGATCCTTCTATTCCCACCTTGCTGAGAGTTTTTATCAAAAATGGGTGTTGGATTTTGTCGAATGCTTTTTCTGCATCAATTGATATGACCATGTGGTTTTTTTCTTTCAATTTGTTTATGTGATGTATTACGTTTATTGATTTACGGATGTTGTACCATCCTTGCATTCCTGGGATAAATCCTACTTGGTCATGGTGTATGATCCTTCTGATGTACTGTTGGATCCGATTTGCTAAGATTTTGTTGAGGATTTTGGCATCTATGTTCATGAGGGATATTGGCCTGTAATTCTCTTTCATTGTGTTGTCTTTACCTGGTTTTGGTATTAGGGTGATGCTGGCTTCATAGAATGAGCTTGGAAGTGTTCCTTCCTCCTGAATTTTTTGTAGTAGTCTGAGGAGGATAGGTTTTAGTTCTTCCTTGAAAGTTTGGTAAAACTCCCCTGAGAAGCCATCTGGTCCTGGGCTTTTGTTTGCTGGGAGCTTTTTGATGACTGCTTCAATTTCTTCCATAGTTATTGGCCTATTGAGATTTTTAGATTCTTCCTGATTGAGTTTTGGGATGTTGTATTTTCCTAGGAATTTGTCCATTTCCTCCAGGTTGTCTAGTTTGTTGGAGTAGAGTTGTTCATAGTATTTTTTAACAATCATTTGTATTTCTGTGGGGTCTGTTGTTATTTCGCCTCTATCATTTCTGATTTGGTTTATTTGGGTCCTCTCTCTTTGCTTCTTGGTGAGCCTGGCTAGAGGTTTGTCGATCTTGTTTATCCTTTCAAAGAACCAGCTCTTGGTTTCATTGATTTTCTGTATTGTTTTTTTGGTCTCTATGTCATTTATTTCTGCTCTAATCTTTATTATCTCCTTCCTTCTGCTCACTCTGGGGTTTTCTTGTTGCTCTCTTTCTAATTCTTTGAGTTGTAGAGTTAGATGATTTACTACCATTTTTTCTTGTTTTTTGAGGTAGGCCTGTAGAGCTATAAACTTCCCTCTCAGGACTGCTTTCATTGTGTCCCATAGGTTTTGGATTGTTGTGTTTTCATTGTCATTAGTTTCCAGGATGTTTTTAATTTCTTCTTTGATGTCATTGGTAACCCAATCAATATTTAATAACATGCTATTCAGCTTCCAAGTGTTTGAGTATTTTGGGTTGTTTTTATTGTAGTTTATTTCTAACATTATGCCATCGTGGTCTGAGAAGAAGCTTTTTATGATTTCAATCTTCTTGAATTTGTGGAGACTTTGCTTGTGACCCAATATGTGGTCTATTTTTGAATATGTCCCATGAGCACCTGAGAGGAATGTATATTCCATGGCTTTGGGGTGAAGTGTTCTGAAGATGTCAATTAAGTCCATCTGATCTAGTGAGTCATTTAGGATTGCTGTTTCTTTGCTGATTTTTTGTCTAGAGGACTTATCCAGTGATGTCAGTGGTGTATTAAAGTCCCCTACTATGATTGTATTGTTGTCGATCTCTCCCTTGATATCTTCCAGGAGTTTTTTTTATGTATTTGGGTGCTCTTGCATTGAGTGTATATATGTTTATCAGGGTTATGTCCTCTTGTTGTATCGATCCCTTTAGTATTAGGAAGTGGCCTTTCTTATCTCTTGTTATGGCCTTCACTTTGAGGTCTATTTTGTCTGGTTTTCCTCTTAAGGCCTTCTTATTTTTTTGACATCTTAAGGAATTGTTCTTCCTGTTTCTCTACTGTCTGATTATACACTCAGTAGGAGGAGGTCCAAATTGTCTCTCTGCAGCTCTATTTCCATGCTCTTTTGCATAGCTGATTACATTCAGTTTGAATTTTGCAAAGCGAGACAATCGCTTACCAGTATTTATCTTTTTATTTTTTGACATCTTTATGGGCTCAGAATGCTCCAGTCCCTGTTGCATCTGCACACTCTCCACCTCTACCTTCAATTACAGCATCAGCTGATGTCAGTAACAATAAGGCTCATGATTGGAGTAAGCCTGTTTGACAAGGTACACATCCACGTGGCTCCCTCCTCGGCTGACTTCCGTGTATAAGATGCCCCTTGATTTTCAGTCTAACAATTTTCAAAAAAAAAAATAGTGTCTTATACACAGAAAAATACAGTAGTTTATTTGAAGAGGAAATCCCAGTGAGGGAGAAGGGATGTGAGACAGTGAAGGAGGAAAAGATAATAAAAGGGGCGTTATTATGGGCCATTGGGTCTTAATTTTGCTGGAGACTCTGAGGAACTGTGTAGAACAACCCTTGAAACTGGCCCTACAAAGCACAGGGGAGCAGGAGTAGTTACCCACCATCTCCTTACTATAGGATGTGTTTGGGGAAATTGGTCCTTGTTCTCAGACTGTCCCTCCTGCAAGCTAGCCAAGCAGGCTCCTGTGGTCACAGGAAGCCCTCAGGCCTTGGTCAGAAGCCAGCTGCATGCCAGGGACTGCACACCAGTTCCAGATGCCATCAGCATGGGCTAAGGGATCTGCCAACAGCATCTGACAAGGATATCTGGGACAGAGTACACGGTATCAAGTTTTCCAAAGCCTGGGACAAGCACCACCAGCTGTTCAGGAACCGATTTTAGTTGGTTCTGGTTCATGGCATTAAACAACAAGGAATCAATTGGTGAGACAGTTCTGCCCTTGTCACTTCTGTTCCCACCCTCTGATGACCCCAAGGAGAAGGAAGTCTCACTTTGGTACTAATTGTTATGGGCTGAATTGCGTACTCCCATTCATATGTTGAAGTCCTAGCCCCCAGTATCTCAGAATGTGATTGTATATGGAAATAGGGTCTTTAAAAAGGTAATTATATTAAAATGAGGTCATTAGAGTGGGCCCTAATCCAATATGACTTGTGCCCTTATAAGAGATTTGGACACACACAGGAACAGATGGGACCACGTGAAGACTTAGAGAGAAGATGGCCATCGACCAGCCAAGATAAGCTTCAAAAGGAACCAACCTGCCAACACCTTGATCTTAGACTTGTAGCCTCCAGAATTGTGAAAGAATAAATTTCTGTTGTTTAAGCCACCCAGGCTTTGATATTTTGTTATGCAGCCCTAGGAAACTAATGCCCTAATTATGGCTTTAATACTCTACAACACTTGCTAGCTCCCTGTTGAGCAAAGTCAGCTTCAGGCTCAGAACGTTTACTGAAGACTGCCATTGGCTAAAATGTACTAACATTTGTCCTGTTTTCATGGCATTTATTTTTATAATTACCCTCAAACTATAGCTAGTTTATCATCAGCAGACTACAGCTATTTATTATCAGCAACAATGCAGTTTCCTTTTGAGATAAATGTATTTAATCTTTTAAGCCAACCAATTTAAAGAACAACATTAAGCAAATAATAGAGCCATAAAAGATGGGTGAAGGCTGGGTAATTCTATGAGCCCTAGAACAGCATGTTATGATGGATGGAAAGAGTGTGACCTTGGGCAAGTCACCCAAGCCCTCTGAACTTCAGCTCCCCTAATATCGACCTTACAGGGCAATTCAAATGGGATAATATTTGTCAAGCAACAAGCACTCTGCCCAGAATTTTTTAAAAAATTCTCTCCACTGGGCATTCTCTGTCCCATGAAATATTTAAAAGAAAATACATCTTTTAATTTTTCAACTAGAGATGAAATTCAATATTATGTTAATTTCAAGTATACAGCATCATGGTTAGACACTTATATAACTTACTAGAGGCCCGGTGCACGAAATTCATGCATGGGGGGGCGGTCCCTCAGCCCGGCCGGCATCCCCTCCAATCCGGGCCCTTTGGGGGATGTCCTACTGCCGATTTAGGCGCGATCCCACAACCGGCAGTCGGACATGCCTCTCGAAATCTGGGACCGCTGGCTCCTAACTGCTCGCCTGCCTGCCGGCCTGATCGTCCCTAATCACCTCTGCCTCGGCCCCACACCCGGGACCTAGGATTCCCTCCTCCAGCCAGCCGCAGGCTCTCGGGACCCGGGCTTCCCTCCCTCTGGCTGGCCGCAGGCACCTGGGACCTGGGCCAGCTTCACCTGGGCCACAGCCGCAGGCACCCGGGACTGCGGGGCGGGCAGCTTCTCCTCTTGGGCCGCAGCCGCAGGCGCTGGCACCAAGGACCACTGGTGGGTGGCTTCCCCCCGGGCCCGGCTTGGTCAGGAAGGATGTCTGAATGGTCGTCCAGAAGACGTCCAGTCTAATTAGCATATTACCCTTTTATTAGTATAGATGAAGTGATCCCTCCAATAATTGAAGTCCCCACCTGGCACCACACATAGTTATTACAGTATTACTGACTATATTCGCTGTGCTATACTTTGCATGCCCGTGACTATTCTGTAACTACCAATTTATACTTCTAATTCCTTTACTTTTCTCACCCAGCCCCCAACCCAGGCAACTGTCCTAGAGAAAGCTGCCTCCCCAGCTCTCTCCTTAAAGCCAGACAATTCAGTTCCTCCCTGTGTGTCCCTGGCACTTTTTGAGCTGCTGTCCCTTTGCTGGAGCTTACGTAGAATATTTGTGAGCAAGTGAGTCTGGGCTCTGGCTCTTTAAGAAGTCACCTGGGTCTACAGCAGCTGTCCATCTCACCTTGATGGGATTCTCACTGATTTTCACAGCCAGATGCTGTGGGGACTCTTCCTGGCACTGGTTGTTCAGGCTGGGCCTGGTGTGGGACTGGGACCCTCACTCCTCAGGGGGGACCTCCATAACCAAGATATTCCTCTCAATTCTTTTTTTTAAATGTATCTTTATTGATTTCAGAGAGGAATGGAGAGGGAGAGAGGAGAGAGATGGAAACACCAATGACGAGAGAGAGTCATTGATCGGCTGCCTCCTGCATGCCCCACACTAGGGATTGAGCCTGCAACCCAGTCATGTGCCTTGACCGGGAATTGAACTGTGACCTCCTGGTTCATAGGTTGAGGCTCAATCACTGGGCCACGCCGGCTGGGCTTCTCTCAATTCTTAATGCCACACGTAGGTGTGGGAACAGACCATTTAAATTCTCCCCCTCTCCTGCCAGTCTCTACCTGGCGTCTTTATATCCTTAGTTGTAGGATTCTGTTCAGCTAGTCTTCAGGTGATTCTCAGGGTGGGTGTTCTATAATTTAGTTGTAATTTTGATGTGGTTGTGGGAAGAGGTGAGTGCAGTGTTTACCTACTCTGCCATCTTGAATGAAACTTAGAAAATATAATTTTTCATGGATCTTAAGAAAGATATTAGTCAGATATTAGAACACTGCTAGTCAGATATTAATCAAATGTAGTTTGATTTTCTGTAGTGAAGTCCCTTTCCCATCATTTAGTCCCACCCTAAGAAACCTGGTCCCTTTGATCTGTTTGGAACTGCTCAGCCTGTGTCTTCTGTTGGGAAGATCATGAGGAGGTCCGGTGTGGACGTGTATTAAACAGTGTGCACACAGAGGGAGTGCTGTGGCTACCACGTACGTCCTGTGTAGCCGTCTCAATTGATTTGTGTATCTTGGCTGCTTTCATTGAATGAACCACAATGCTTAAAACTGCATTTTAATATATCAATAAAGATATATTTAAAAAATAATTGAGAGGAATATCTTGGTTATGGTTTTTTCTTTTAATATGGGAAATGGTCACAAGTTTCTTATCCAAATAGTAATCCAAATAGTAGAGCACTGGGGACACTGGGAGACATCATCCAATGCCAGAGTTTATCAGAAAATAAAGTTCTTCATCTCTGAATTCTGAAGAAGGTAGCTTGGTTCAGTGTTTTAAAACAGAGAAAAATGCCAGTTCTGAATACAATGTCGTGTTTCATCCATGGAGAAAAGAAAGGAACATGGAAATCCCCAAAGTGTAAGTTATTAGTGGGTTTCTTTGCTGTTAGGATATTTTGTTAAGTTCTTTTTTTCCTCTTTTAATGCTAATCCCTCTTTGTAGGTCTGTATTGAAGGTTTGGCACTGTGTCCTGACAAACCCTTACCTGCCAGCAGCATCTTCAGGAATGTTGTTCCAATTATTCCAGGGATGTAGTTGTTTTCATGGTGATGCCAACTGTAGTGAATAAAGGGGAAGGTGACCCTCAGGAAAAGTAAGTGGGTGGATACCAAGGGGAGGAGAGGATATAATATAAATAACAGAGTTCTATCTGGCTTTAGGTTATCCTTGAAATTAATCAAATACTGCCAAGTTGTAGATTCTTGAACAAAAGAAGTGAACAATTGCAATAAAAAAAGAAAAAGCCTATACTCCCTTGGAGATTATATTCTAGAACATGCTTTAACATCTTATTATGCTGTAGACTCTATGGCAGTTTCATAAAGTATATGGATCCTTCTCAAAACAGTGTTTTCAGATGTATAAAATAAAATACCTAGAATTCAAAGAAAAACAATGTTGTTAAAATTTAGTAACTTGTAACACTGTGCTCAACCCACACTACTGCACAGGCTATTAGCAATAAGTAACTTTATTTAAATAACACAGTTTAATGATTATCTCAACTATAACATGCGTTTGAACGTATCTGGTCTTTATTCCTAGACTATATGCATATCGTTGTTACCAGGGCCACACAGCCTTTCTGAGAATTAAGAATTCTCATTTGAATTGTTCAGTCTTGTAATATTTTTTAAAACAATAGAAAGAACTCACTCCTTCTATGTATTGATTAACATAGTAAGCAGGGATACTAGAAAGCAATGAGATGTCTGAATCAACAACCTAAGAAATCCTGGTTTCACCGCTTGACTGAATGACCACCAAGCATAGCACACAGCCTTTCTGAGAATTAAGAATTCTCATTTGAATTGTTCAGTCTTGTAATATTTTTTAAAACAATAGAAAGAACTCACTCCTTCTATGTATTGATTAACATAGTAAGCAGGGATACTAGAAAGCAATGAGATGTCTGAATCAACAACCTAAGAAATCCTGGTTTCACCGCTTGACTGAATGACCACCTGGCACAGAGCTGATGAATGATTGGCCAGCTATCTGTGAGCCTCTCTAAGCCCAAGGCTTCAGTCACATGCCATCTATTTGTAGCTTATTGACCATCATAATGTCAAATTGATGAGCATCAATGATACTTCAAAATATTGTGGACAATTGTATTGTGATAGGAAACACATTTGTGATTTCTTATTCATAGCAAGTGACACGTAATTCTAAATCATGTGGGTTACTGTCTGCACTCAATTGAAGGAAATGTTTAATTTCAATTAGATGTTGGTAAAAATAGGATAGGATTATTTTCTTATACAAGGACCTTCTGGACTCCCAGGTCGACCCTAGGCAAGAACCCCGTGTGGGAAGGCAGGTAATAAGTAAATAAGTAACATGCCAATAAGTATAATTTTAAAAATGACACAAGATAAGGTAGAGAGAGAAAGCCAAGTGTGGAGTGAGGAAGAGCTATTTATATGATGAACACCACTCTAGGGTGACATTTGAACACTGATCTGGAGGACAAAAGGAGCCCCATGACTATCTGCAGAAAGGACATTCTAGGGCAGTGATGGCGAACCTATGACACACGTGTCAGAGGTGACACGCGAACTCATTTTTTTGGTTGATTTTTCTTTGTTAAATGGCATTTAAATATATAAAATATATATCAAAAATATAAGTCTTTGTTTTGCGATGGTTGCAAATATCAAAAAATTTCTATATGTGACATGGCACCAAAGTTAGGGTGTTTCAAAATGCTGACACGCCGAGCTCAAAAGGTTCGCCATCACTGTTCTAGGCCAAGGAAGCACCAAGTTTAGTCCCACCTCTTCGAGCCTGATGATGGCGTCAGGCAAGGTCCAATCAGGGAAGCAGAACCACTGTGAGTATTTTGGAATACGAGCTTTTTTAGAGGAGTTAGACTGTACACAGTCATAGGAGGAGCTGGGGAGGTGACAGCCTGGAAGTGGGTACTGGATATCAGAGAAGAGGCAGCAACCAGCCGTGATGTGTGTGAACAATCCAGAGCTGGTGAGAGGGGCTCTGGGATGTCACCTCCAGCTGCTG